ATTTATGTCATAATTTTCGAATAAATAATTATATTTGCTCTTTTAAGAATAGTATTTATTGGTTATTGGAATTTATACACCAATCCTATACTTGTATATATATTATATATATATATATATTTACAATGCACAATTTTAATCAATGAAAATCAAACAACACAAAAATAAAAATACCAGAATTTCTTTCTCTATATCTCATTTTCTGATGAAGCTTTAATAAAAGTGAAATATTTTAGATTGATAAATGTTTCTTATCTGTTCTTATCTTATCACATATAATATATTTTATCTGTGATTATCTTATCACATATAAATATATGTGTGAGTGTGCGTGCGTGTGTGTAAACATTTAGAGACCAACGATTAAAATCGCTTGTAAAACGTTTAAAATTCCAGTCTTAGCAAGACTCCTGACAAAACTGTCATTTTCTAGATAACTCGATCTTCGCGCATCAAAAATTTTGGTTTCTTGAAAATTGAGTTGTCCTGAAATTGACAGTTGTGTCAGGAGTCTTGCTAAAACTGGAATTTTAAACGTTTTACAGGCAATTTTAATCGTCATTCTATATTTGACTACATAAATGTGTATGTTTGCGCATGTGCCCATGTCTACGTGCGTGTGTGTGTGTGTGAGAGAGAGAAAGAGTGGGGGGAGATAAGAATTGGAACAAAATTTCATTTTACTAACTAATCGTTTGGTTTTGAGTGTCAAAAAGGAACGTTGCATAAGAAGATTCAAATTTTATTCCAGTCAACATGTTTTTGTAGTTCTGAAGGCTAGATTTATGAAATATATTTCTTTCATAGAATTAAATCTTTAAATAAAGAAATGCTATCCTTCTAAACATATTTTTATAATTGTTCAAGTAGATGGAAAAGATGATTACATATTTACTATCTGGAAGAATAAATAGTACTTTAATCTATATAATTTGTGGAGTCAGTCTACCCGGATTTTAGGAGGAGAAAATAAAATCCGAGTGTCGTGTCCACAAATAAAACACAATTTTTTATATAACGCGAAGAAATCATTTTAGCAGAAAAGGAAGAAAACCAAGGTAAATGTGACAGTAACATTTATACAGTCAGATACATAATACATATTTATACAGCCAGATACATGTATTTACATGTTCTTTCAATGTTCTTTGTCGTGGCGATGAAGAGACCAATAGTTTTATTGTTCAAAATGCTTCATTGCAAGTGAGTTTGCAAAGTTTCGAAGTGTTTTTGTTGCAAGTGAGGAAATCAAGCGGTATGGTACGCCAATATATATATATGTGTGTGTGTGTGTGTGTGTGTGTGTGTGTGTGTGTGTGTGTGTGTGTGAAGCACACTAAGGAAACGTGTGTGACTTGTGTGACTGCTGACTGATTGCGTGGGATAGCAGTAATTTTAAAACACAGTGAAAAAAGAAAGGGGATATAGGACTTACTTTCGTCGTGGCTTTGCATGTAGAAAAATCATCGCTGTCTGATGCGTTGTCATGGTAACGTGTGTCTAAGCTGTTGATCGAGGCTGGTCTGGTCCACCGAATTTCTTTTGCCGACTGCCCTTCCCTGTGTCGTTGCAGATCTTGTCGCAGACTGATTCTTTCGCTGACTGTTCTCCACTGATGTTTTTCACCGACTGTTTTTGGCTGTTAACCGTGAACCGATTTAGTGGTTTATGGAGACCCGTGCTCTGCTCACGATTCCTGTCTGAGATTTGCACGGGAATATACTCAGTACGTCAAGCCCTGACGCAATTCCAGGTCATTTAGAGTTCAACCGCGCGAACGTAGTAAAGAGTAAACCGCGTAACATATCCAATCAGGTTCCAGAAATCACTTATTTTATTTGGAGCCGTGTTTGTACAGAATTGTAAAAATGTTTTTCTACTGAATTTAGTCAGATTTATTTGTAGGCGTCTCTTAATTGCTTGTGCTTCACTTATTGGCCGTAAAATATAGAAGTTTATATTCTATAACCTGTTCCCAGTCCCTAATTATCGTCGCAATCTTAGACAACGAAAACAAATGTTTGGTTTTTGCTTAAATGCCTGTTAGCAAAGGCATACAGAAAATACTGACCATATGTATTTGAATAAGCAAACTTTATTTTTTATTCATTTTCATTGATACTTATCGAAAAAAATGTCATCGAAAAATATGGCACAAGGTCAAAATTGGCGCGGAATTTATTCGCTGGCCTTCTCTATCCGAATTTTAATTTAGCTATTTGTACTCACTGACCCAATTTTTCTTAAGTTTTTTTTCACAACAATTTATTCTGAACATTTCATTTATTTCACTATCACCAAAAGAATCTTAATGAAAATTCTAATCCCATAATTACAATTTTATTGGGGACTAGGAAAATAGTTTTTAGGTAAAGTTTATAAAATGTCCCCAAAGATTTAATGACTTGGATATCATTTCAAATATATATTATCATTTGTCCCTACCATCAATAATTAAACATAGCAATTTAATCTGGTGAAAAATAAATAAAAACAAAGTGTATTTTTTTCTTATATTCCTAATTTATAAACCTACATGTATTGCAGATGAATGCAAATCCTTTAAGAGGTCTGGACCAACTTCTTCCATTTTCTTCTCGACCTCTAAGCCGATATATATTAATTTAACTGTTTACATGGATTATTATAGAGGAGTTTAATACCAATAAAAATGTTGATGGTATTTTAAACTTAAATACATGTACAGTAATTTGTTTTAATTTAAACTTCAAAACGCCCCTATAAAAAATAATCCATGTAAATGTATATGTACTAATATGGAAAAGAATGAAGATTTTATTTGGAATACAACTTTTGAGTTGAACAATCTTGAAAGCAGTGAAAGACATTCTAACATATGATGAAAAGGGTGCATTAGGCAAAAAAATTGAGAACCACTGGTTTAGCATATATATATATATATATATATATATATATATATATATATATATGAAGAAATATAGTTTTTAAGGTGTGCTATATTTATGGATGAAGTGCTCAGTATCAGAGATAGAGTATATAAATATAAATATAATAGTGAACATTGAAGATTCGCAGCCTGACGATTGCGTCCAGTATGAAACAGCCTGTCGCCTCTGAGTCTTGACTTCAATGTTCACTTTTATTTATATATATATATATATATATATATATATATATATATATATATATATATATATATTGTAGTATTATTGTAGTGTGGGGCCCAATAGCTGAGAACTGATCAGTAAACTGGACTTGTAGATCCTTACTAGTATATTCGATCTTCAAATGGTACCCGTAACTCATTGCCTTATGGATTTTAAGGTATTTTTTACAAATATCTGTTACTAGCTTAAAAGCCGCCCTTTCAGGCGGCATTTACGCAAGATCCTGCGGAGGGCTCTTGATTGGACTTTCGACTTGTTCAGGAGTTTGAGAGTCCAGATTCTCAGCATTGGAGGCTCTCCTGGCTATCGTTTGATCTGCGGTTTCATTTGTATGGTGCTTTGTTTTCCTCGCTGCAGCCTTGGCTCTTTTGATTGCAATCTGCTCTCCTGTTAGCGGAGATTTCTTTTTGAGCGGCATACTGCTGCCGTATGCAATAGGCAACAATAAACTACAGAAGAACTAAAAAATGATCGCTTCATTTAAGTACTGCATTTATATTTAAGCTTCTTCTGTCACCACTTAATTTAAAGAGAATTTGATGTACGTAGGTCCTTACTTTCCGTACAAACAATTCTTTTTTATTTCATGGGTGACTTTCGCTGGATTTCGCAATTAATTTCGATTATTCCCAAATTTATTTCCAAGTTATAAAAATTGTTATCGTACAAAAAAATCCGTCGCAAAAAATCATGTAAAAAATCGCCGAAAACATTTGCCGTGATGGAAACATAGGAATCCAAAATTTCAAGATTGCGGGTTTGGTTCCGGACTGGAATGTTTTTATCTTGCTTACGGGGTCGGCCTGGTGTTGGGCTACGTCTTCTAGGGGTAGAGTTGAAAGATTGTGACACATTGTCACACTGACATTCGCACTTATTTATATAGAAGTAATAACAATTTTAAACTTTCCTTCATTTTTTTTTTTTTTTAAATTTTACATCAAAGAATACAAAACCTGTCGAGATTCAAATAATTATTGCCGGAAGAAAGAAGTCAAATATATTTATTATATTATGCTGACCTTATAAGATTTACATAAAAAAAAATTAAAAACTACATAGTTTATTTGATTATAATCAAAGTCCGTATGTAAGTGCGTTATCTCATGTATTTAAGCGTGGTTCTCCGTGGGTGAGCGGTAAACCCCACTGGATGAGTATCTCGTCTGTTAAAACTGGTGCTATGGGTGCACGGCTGAATGTTTAGAACGTTCGCTTTCCGATCATGAGACTTGAGTTCGAATCTTACCATGTCGAGTAGGTGATTTATAATGTTATCGAAACCAGCGCGTGAACAGTACCTGAACAGGTGTATGCAATAGATAAAAAAACCTGGGGAACCTGGGAACGAATCGCCAGCCATTATATATATATATATATAATATTATGTCTTTTCCTATTAATAAATAATTTGCTGACACTTCTTTCATGAACTAATAGTTTCAGCATTTTTTGTCACTTTCGTTTTATGTATCTAATTAAAATCGAATTATTCTACAATCTAAAAGATCGTTGTTTTTATGATATTTCTTGGTGTAATAGCGATTATTATTAATTTTTGGCTACCATTGAGCGAGTGAATCCTGAGGGTCTTGGCAAAAACCATCCTTCTTCAAAGATTATTTACTGGTGCTACAAAGAAAAAATTATACCAAATAAAGAAACAAAATTACTTGAAGACAATCAACAGCAGCAACAATTAAAATGGATAGCTCGAAGAGAAAATACTGACATAATCAGGATTTTGCCATTCCACACTACTTCAAATAGAAGGATATGAACACTGGAAAGAATGATAAGAGGTTATTTTCCAGAAAAGCATTTTAAGAGTAATATTTGATAAATTTGAAC